TATATTTATATTTGATAGGTACAAAGACCCGTAAAATTAAAGTGATGAATACATTATGAAGATGAAATTAACTTCATAGCTTTGACTCAATGTAATATTGCTTTAAACTTCTTATTTTATACAAAGATCGTCATATGTTTGTAGTTACTTCTTTGAATAAAACTAAATTAAACAATTTTCTTTGTTGTTACAATTTATGTATAATAAATTAAAAATAAATATTTTTTTATATTATTTTGGCCCCCTATTAAATAATCCTACCTCCACCCCTGGTTATGATGAAGGAGGAGGTTGTTTAACGAGTCGGGTTGTGTTTGTTGTGGGGTTTATTTAAGTATGGATCAGGTTTGTGAGTGGAGAAGGTTATGATTATGGTACTGTGATGGTGGTTTATGTTAGGTTGGTTGCCATTTCATGTAAGGCACCAACCATTGACCATTGACTATTAGTAGCCACCATTGTTGAATGAGCTAGAGTTGGTGGCCACCAATATTGATAATAAAACAAGAAGAGCTTCCATGAATGCCTATAAATAGAAGCATATGTTAGAGAGCAAAATGTGGAGAGTTTTGTGAGAATGTGAAGAGAGTAGAGAGAAAGAGAGAGCTGCAATGGCAGCAGCCTTGATGCCATTGTAGCAGCTGCAAGTGTAGCAAAGAGAGGGCTAGGAGTAGAGTAGAGTGAAGTTATCATTCTCCTCCATGTATTTGTTTTGTATTCTTTCTCTAATCTCTAATAATATAGACTCTCTCCTGTGGATGTAGGCGGTTTTGCCAATCCACGTAAATATTATGTCAGTGTGTTTGGCCTCCTATGAGCAAATATCAGTACATCACCGGTCGAAATTCCCAACACATTACTCTCTAAAATCCCTGAAAGTTAACGGTAATTTTTAATAATAAAAGATGTAGTCTAACTAGTTAAATTTTAAATTTATTTATTAAAAATTATTAATTTAAATTTTATAAATTTTAGAATTACTAGAAAATTTATATTATTATTAATTTTAAATTAATTAAGATATGCCCACGTTAATCTAAATATCCATATTAATAAAATAAAACATGAAATTTCTGTTTTATTTTAATTTTTCGTTTTAATGAATTGGATATCATTAGGCAAGCTTTGACCGTACGTAGGATTTCTTAATTAGATAAAAGATATTTAAGCGGCGTTTAACTTTAAGATAGAAATCTCTGACACGTCATCACAGCCACATCAGCTCCTTGGGTTTTGATCTAGTGTGGCGCAATGGCTATTCCTCCTACCACGTGGCATCATCTGTAGCGTTTAGTGATCCCAAAGTTTGATTGTTTAAATCTGAGCCATCCGAAGTCTGATTTGGGTGATCTTAGTGTCGTTTCTAATATTTTTGGCCATTCCGGACACATCTGTAAAGTTGGATTTTGCAAATTCGAAGCCAATCCAAGCTGAGTTGGAGCCGAGGGACAGGATTCTGTGTGGCAGAGTCTACGTGCAACCGGTTCTGAGATTGAATCTGGGCCGTTTATTAGACC